GAGCCCAGCAGGTTGAGGTTGTGGTGGCCGGGAGCAGCCACTGCACTCCAGTCTGGGTGACAGAATGAGACTCCAACTCAAAAAAAATAAATTTGCATTTTCTTTTCTCCTTGTCTGGTATTTCCGTTCCATTTCTCCAAAGAATTTTATCCCAAAGCAATGTATATTTTATGTTAGAAAATCTAGTATTGATTTCTTGATCACACTTCCTGACAATATAAATATCTACATGCATTTTATTTTTTAAAATTTCCTGGGAGCCTAGGGCTGTAAGTGCTTAAATAACAATTTCTTGGAATGAGTAATGATAACTATTAGAGACAGGAAAGAGAGTCATAATAACAAATATGCCACTTTACAATTATTTAACATTAAAAAGTAAAATATTCTTAGAAATGCATATGTTAGTGGATGGGGCATTATTCCTTTTTTTCAATTCCTTAGCATATCTGTGGATAATTATTAAGTAGTAACTGCTAGAATAAGACAGGGTTACGCATCAATTTTTTTTCTGTTTTTCTTTGGTTTTGCTTTTTGGGGTTTTTTTTAACGTAAACAGAGAAATGTGTTCATGTAAATGAGACAATGGAAAAAAATGTTGTGTTACAATCTTGTCATTCTGTTCTTTGAACTCTTTTCAAGTTACAAACCCACAATCCCAGTGTGGTCCATCATGGAAAATTACTTTCAAGGACCTCTCTGAGGACAATCCAATTAGCTCCATCGTCAAAGGACAGCACAGCATCTAAACTGCTAAAGGACTTGTGGGCAGTGATAAGTGATAAGGGCCCTTCACTTTCTCCACAGAAGTGCCAGCATTCCAAGGGGCCATCTGTGTCCACCTGGAGATTCGCCACCCAAGACTACGTAGAAAGACAAGAGCGTTTCTTTCTTGTCTGAAGTGGGAGAAGGAAGCAGCGCGAGGGAAGGTGTCAATGGAGAAATGGCTTCCAGGAATTCTCAGGCAGAGCAGCTTTAGGGAAGAGACCATATGGAAGCTGAGGACCTGAAACTGAATTTTGTCAACACTCTCTGTGCACCCAAGTGCCGCTCGTGAAGCCTCCACGTGATCTCAAAGGAACAAGGCCCCAGTCTGACAGCTACTGACTCAGGTGGCCTCAGGGAGATCCCATTCCCAGTTTTTTGAAATCACAAAACTATAAAAACAGGGAAAAGGAACCAAAGCTTGATTAACTAAAAGGGAAACCCCCATAGTATCTGCCTTGTGACACAGTTAATAACATATTCAAGACTAGGAAACGACATCTGAACTCATCAAGACTCTAGGTCTAACTCTCCACCTAGCAGAAATACAGGGGACTGAGGAACAAGTTATGCAGCACCACAAGGAAGCCATCAGTCAAATTCAGAATGTGAAACACTCTAGAGACAATTGACCCCGACTCTCCAACCAATTACTGGTGCAGAAAAAAATATTGGACTGCTATTAAAGGAATAAAAGAGACCTAAAAGACATAATGAACAAATTCAATGTAAAAATCTTGTTTGGACACCAATTCTAAAAAAGACAATCTTAGAAGACAAACCAAGTAGGATCTAAACAGCACTGTTTAGAAAAGATGAGGGAAATTTGAATATGGATTGGGATCTAGATCATAAAAAGGAATTACTGTTAAGATTGGTAGGTATGATAATGGCATGGTGATTTTTTTTTTAAGTCATTCAGTTAGAGATGTGTATTGAATTCACAGGCAAAATTACATGATATCTAGGATCTGCTTTTTAAAAATCTTAGCTATTATATCGAGAGGAGACAGGCAAAATGAGATTAGCAAAATGTCAATAATGATTGAAGTCGGGTGATGAGTACCTAGGACGCATCACAGGAGTCTCTCCACTTTTTTTGACATGTCTTAAAAGGTCTGTTAAGGGGAAAGAGGAAGAAAGAAAGTGTATTTAATTGATGCCAACTATGTATGAGACTAGGCCTGTGCTGAGCCCTTCCTAAATATTATCTTATTTTGCAAGTCCTGAGGCAGCTGTCACATAAGCCTCCTTTCCTGTCTAAAGAGAAACAGAGGCATCTGGCAAGCTGGATAATAAATATGGCAGGTGAGAAGAGGTAGCAGTTAGCACCCAGGGAACACAGAGATGCATGTAGATCAAAGGGGAAAAACTGGAGATAGCCCTTGGCAGACAAGTGTCAGAATCAACATTGTCTCCATTTGCTTTTCTCCTGCTAAGTGTTACTTACCCCTGCAGCAAAGCCAAGGCTTCCATCTAAGATCCGCCTCTGAAAATGAAAACAAGATGTTTCAGTTCCTAAGGAACAATACAATGCCGTATCCTAGCACAAGAGGAAACCTTAAGGCCCAAGATAACCACACAAATAAAGACCAGCCCATTCCTGAGCTCATGAGTTTATACAGGGGGCCAAGAATCAGGGGAAGAATTTTTTTCAACTTTCCATCCACCACGCAGCCAATCAAAAGTGTTTTTTCAAGAGGTGTGTTTGTGGCTTGTATTGGCCTATGTGGTCTCTTACTCAGCTCTCTCTGTGAATTACAACTATAAACCTTGAGTCAGCAGCTGGTCTAAAAGGTGGAATGACCAAGTGTTGGTGAGGAGCAAGTGGAATGATAAAACCCCCACATGGGCAGGTTTGATCACTGGCACCCCACTTTAAAAACTATTTGGCAGCACCAAGGAGAAATACACATTACAGAGGCCACTCCTGAATCATTCCATAACAGAAATGTACACTTGGATTCACCAAACGCATGTACAAAAACATTCAAGGCAGCACTATCTGTGAAAGCCAAATGCTCACCAACAGTAGAATGAATACATCAATTTTATATTCATAGGCCAGGCGCGGTGGCTCAGCCTGTCATCCCAGCACCTTGGGAGGCTGAGGCAAGTGGATTGCCTGAACCCACGGGGTTCAAGATCAGCCCCAGCAACTTGGCGAGACCGCGTCTCTACAATACATCAAAAATTAGCCAGGCGTGGTTGTGCACATCTGTAGTTCAGCTACTTGGAAGGCTGAGATGGAAGGATTGCTGGAGTCCAGCAGGACGACACGGGGGTGGCCATGAGGGGGATGTCAGAGGCTGGTACTGCTCTGTTTCTTGATCTAAGCACTAGTTTCACGTGCATTTATGAAAAAGTATCAAGCTGTGTATTTATAAAATGTGCACTGTTCCATATGTATCTTATAATTCAATAAAAAGATTTTTTGGTGTCTACCAAGAAATGAATGGATACATAAAATGTATGCACATACAATGAAGTAGTCTCCAGCCTTAAAAAGAAATTCTCACACATGCTACAACATGGATGAGCCCTGAGGACATTATTCAAAGTGAAAGAGGCCATCTGTCCACGGAACTCTTTCATCATACAAAACTGAAACTCCATACCCATTTGACAGTGAGTCCTCATTCCTCCCCTCCCCCAGCCCCAGGCAACCACCATTCTACTTCCTGTCTCTAGGTATCATTTATACCTAGATTCCAGGTAACCCGTGACTCCAGATTGTGTTTTGAGTTCCAATCACCAATTCATCAGCTCCAAACCTCCCCCTGAGGAGGGGAGAGGGCAGGGTGCATCGCTGAGATCAAGACCTGCTTGCGGGTCTCTGACGCAAGAGTGCCTGGCTCGCCAACTTCCTAGACAGGCTTTCTTTCCCAGACCCATCTCACAGCATGTCGAAATAGATCTTAAGTCGCTCACTCATGTGCCACTCCTACAAGTTCTGTGACTGCCGTGATGAACAATGCAGGGACTGTGCATTGATCAAAACAGCCCCGATGGCTCAAGGCCTGTGGACCGAGGGAATTCTGGGAGGCAGAAGAGTGGCATCCAGGCATAGGAGGTGGGTGTGGATTGCACAGGGGCAGGGTGGGGGGAGGGTGTGTGGGCGTGTGTGCAGGTGTGGGGGTGGGGTATGAGTAGGAGGCGTGTTGGGATGGGGGAACAGCCTACGGGGGGATGGAGAGGGGGCATAGGGGTACAGAGCGCACGGAGGAGCAGGAGAGTGAGGGAGGGTGCTAGGGGTACGAGCAGGATTCATGGAGGATGCGGGGACTAGGGGAAAAGCACAGGGGTCTGCAAGGGCCAGGGAGGCGGGTCTGTCTGTACCCATCCCAAGCTGGGGATGAAACACCCTGGAAATGGAGTAAAGGGAAAAGGGAACAGATACCCCTCCCTCCACGGGGAGGGACAGCTATACCCGAAACCTAATGTTCTTCTTTGGTCATACGCAGTACCAGGCCTGAAAGAAATTAGGCGGAAGGTAAAAGTCAGGTGGCAGGCTAAAAGAGGCTCAGTAACCGGGTTTCTCACTTTCTACTCCCTCCTAGCCGGGCTGGCCAAGAGTCAGGACGGGGGAAGGCACCGTAAGAGATGTCTGCAGCAAGCAAACATCTATTCTTCCGACCCTGCAGGGTGAAGGTGGGAGAAGACAGTGGACTAGCCCACCACCCACCACTGGGAGGTTCAACCAGGCCAGCAAGGAGTCTGCAAGCCTATTCTACGGGTGCGACGGTTTCAGAGCTTGCCAAGACCGTCCCCGCAAACTCCCAGAAGCAATGCAAGGAAACTCACCTGTCCACTAGAGAATATGAACACAAGTGCTGCCCCCGCGGCCGTCATCCCCCAGGTGAAGAAGGTCCCCAGCAAGGCCTGGAACACGGAGCTGTGGCCTTGGAGCATGCTGGATACAACTGTGTGCAGAGAAGCAAAAGGGTCAGCTCTGGGGGTCCCTTTCAGTGACAGGCGCGTGTTCCGATGTGTCCTAACACCCCGTGCCTGAGCTGGCCTGTCTCTGGGCTGGTGGCACGCACCCTTCCACCATCCCAGCGTTCCTCAGCTACCCAACCCACAGGCTGGGATTCTCCTTCCCGGTCCCCCCAGGTATCAGAAATCGCCTAACTCTGAAAGGAGACCCAGGGGGCCCAGAGAGGGGCCGGGGAGCCCACAAGAGGTGACAACATTGAGAAGTGGTTTCAAAAAGAAGAAGCACGAGGAATGTGGATTACACAGCCCGGAGGAAGGGGGCACAGGAGGGTCTGAGGCGGTCTTCCCTACACAATCAGCCTCTTCTACCATCTTTTGCCCAACCTCTGCTCTCGGCCTCCTCCGAATACAGGCAACTAGCTCAGATGCTCTTAAAGCTCTCCCATCTAATTCTCCATCACATCTGCAACAGCTCCCCTGACCAGCCAAAGAGTAAACTCCGCCTACTATCCTGAGCCCCTCCAACTTTCCAAGCCCACGTCTCCCTGACATCCTGTTTGGGCTCAAACGAATGACTTACGGTGCCTCCAAGAAGCCCCAGACGGGCCTGGCCCCGAGGCTCTGTGCTCCGTGCCCTTCCTTCCACGTCTCCACCTTCATCGGAACCCAGAGCATCCCTGCAGCCCACTGATGCCAACTTCACGATGAAGGCTCTCCTGCCCTCCCCAGCCCCATCCTTGTGCGCACTTTTGGTGCTTACTCTGTGACTTTGCCTCCTCGTCTTTGATAGCCTTCGTGGCTTGGGGACTGGGATGATGCTTTTTCACAGATGGCACCCCTGTAAATTAGGGCTTGGTGGCTCCTGAAAAAGACGTGCTGGATTGAAAAGGGCCAGCTTACCTGGACAGGACAGTCGGCAAGGACAAGGAAACAGACCCATGAATGGAATTTCCCCTGGTCAACCCAGCTCCCTGCTGCTAAAGCTGAAGTGACATCACAGCCCATGAAGAAAAGAAAGGGAAGTCCCTCCTCCAGACTTAAAATTCTAGATCTGAAATGACAGGGAGTTGGACCTCTCCCTGTGGAAAGTTACCAGGTGGAGAAACTCATTTGTGGGCAAGTCCTGTGTGGTACACAAACCCTGAGGCTAGGGCCTCATCTCAAAGGCCTCATTCAGCTCCCAGTAGCCTGCCAATACCTGCAGGGCTAGACATGACCTGGGCTCAGCCTTGCCAGGCCTCAGTGCTTTGTAAGGAGCCAGCAGCCCTGGGCCTACAGACCAAGATATGATGTCTCACTGATCCCGGAAGGAGACTATGGGGGAGGGTGGACAGGGAGCTTATGCCAAGAGCCTCAGCAACACAGCCAGGTTCAAATCTCAGAAAGCCCAGGAAAGCCCAGATGAGTCCAGATGAACCCAGGTGAGTCCTGGTTCCACCCCTGTGCTGAGAATTCTGAGATAAGTAGCATCTATGGATTCAGACTCTGGTCCTATAGTCAAAACAAAACTCAAATGGTGACAACACAAGTTAAAGAAAAAAAATAATTAAAAAAAAAACAAACGGCCAGGCTCGGTGACTCAGCCTGTCATCCCAGCACTTTGGGAGGCCGAGGCAAGTGGATTGCTTAAGCCCACAGGTTCAAGACCAGCCCAAGCAATTTGGCAAGACCTTGTCTCTACAGTAAATCAAAAATTATCTGGGTGTGGTAGCACGCATCTGTAGTTTCAATTACTTGGAAGGCTGAGGTGGAAGGATCGCCAGAGCCCAGCAGGTCGACCGCTGGGGTGGCCATGAGAGTGCCACTGCACTCCAGCCTAGGCAACAGAGTGAGACTCCAACTCAAAAAAAAAAAAAAAATCTGAAAAGAAAGATAGGATGACATTGAAGATAAGAAGGATTTGTAAAGTACAAAAGTATCATGGTGAGTATAAAATTGGACTGAGATAGCCAGGCATGATGGCATGCATATGTAGTTTCAATTACTTGGAAGGCTGAGGTGGAAGGATCGCCAGAGCCCAGCAGGTCGACCGCTGGGGTGGCCATGAGAGTGCCACTGCACTCCAGCCTAGGCAACAGAGTGAGACTCCAACTCAAAAAAAAAAAAAAAATCTGAAAAGAAAGATAGGATGACATTGAAGATAAGAAGGATTTGTAAAGTACAAAAGTATCATGGTGAGTATAAAATTGGACTGAGATAGCCAGGCATGATGGCATGCATATGTAGTTTCAATTACTTGGAAGGCTGAGGTGGAAGGATCGCCAGAGCCCAGCAGGTCGACCGCTGGGGTGGCCATGAGAGTGCCACTGCACTCCAGCCTAGGCAACAGAGTGAGACTCCAACTCAAAAAAAAAAAAAAAATCTGAAAAGAAAGATAGGATGACATTGAAGATAAGAAGGATTTGTAAAGTACAAAAGTATCATGGTGAGTATAAAATTGGACTGAGATAGCCAGGCATGATGGCATGCATATGTAGTTTCAATTACTTGGAAGGCTGAGGTGGAAGGATCGCCAGAGCCCAGCAGGTCGACCGCTGGGGTGGCCATGAGAGTGCCACTGCACTCCAGCCTAGGCAACAGAGTGAGACTCCAACTCAAAAAAAAAAAAAAAATCTGAAAAGAAAGATAGGATGACATTGAAGATAAGAAGGATTTGTAAAGTACAAAAGTATCATGGTGAGTATAAAATTGGACTGAGATAGCCAGGCATGATGGCATGCATATGTAGTTTCAATTACTTGGAAGGCTGAGGTGGAAGGATCGCCAGAGCCCAGCAGGTCGACCGCTGGGGTGGCCATGAGAGTGCCACTGCACTCCAGCCTAGGCAACAGAGTGAGACTCCAACTCAAAAAAAAAAAAAAAATCTGAAAAGAAAGATAGGATGACATTGAAGATAAGAAGGATTTGTAAAGTACAAAAGTATCATGGTGAGTATAAAATTGGACTGAGATAGCCAGGCATGATGGCATGCATATGTAGTTTCAATTACTTGGAAGGCTGAGGTGGAAGGATCGCCAGAGCCCAGCAGGTCGACCGCTGGGGTGGCCATGAGAGTGCCACTGCACTCCAGCCTAGGCAACAGAGTGAGACTCCAACTCAAAAAAAAAAAAAAAAACACACTTTACATACATCATCTTGATAAGTCACCCTAAAAAAGAGTAGTTTGTGTTTGTTTTGAAAACACCACCTCTAGATGATGACACCAATCATCTATTCCTAGGTGCTGTGGATAAAATTTCAAACAGCATTTTTTAAATGTCACAACCAAAAAGACCTTTCTTCCTGTATTTGAATGTGCCTTTTGACAGCTCCAGAAGAGAGCAAACAACTGACATTTGCCAAGAGGCCAAAGTCAAAGTGGATTTTGCGGCCTGGTGAACAGAAGGAAGCTTGTGGGTGTTCCTGGTGGTTAGTGGGAGAGGAAGACACTCCTCTAAGCCCATCCCCATGTACACCAGAGCCCCCTGGGAAAGAAGAAAAAGGGACACATGGGGCAAGTTCAAGGCCACCGTCCTTTCCATCCCAATAAGAGGAACATTTATCCCAGGCAATGCAAGCCCAATGCCCTTGGAGAGGTTTCTTCTTCTGTTTGCTATTTTAAATCTAAGTTAAGGGGTGGCGTGAGAACCAGCAGTACTGGTCCTTCTTGGGAGCTAGTTAGAAAAGCAAAATCTTGCCGGGCTCGGTGGCTCAGCCTGTAATCTCACGCTTTGGGAGGCTGAGGTGAGTGGACTGACTGAGCCCGCGGGTTCGAGACCTGCCGGGGCAACTTGGCGAGACCTCATCTCTACAATAAATCAAAAATGAGCCGGGCGTGGTAGCACGCGCCTATAGTTCCAGCTACTTGGAAGGCAGAGGTGGAAGGATCGCCAGAGCCCAGCAGGTCGAGGCTGCGGTGGCCGGGAGCGGCCACTGCACTCCAGTCTGGGCGACAGAGTGAGACTCCAACTCGAAAAAAAAAAAAGAAGAAAAAAAAGAAAAGCAAAATCTCAAGCCCCACCTCGGACAATCTCCAACTTGAATCTCCAATTTGAATCACAATCTGCATTTTATGGAATTCCGCCGGGGATTCTTATGCACGTTAAAGTGTGGAAAGCACTGGTCGAAAACTGGAACCACTTCTACAAGACCGAGTGCTTAGAGAGAGAGTTCCCCGGCCCTACAGGGGACTGGTGAGGCTGGCAGAGTCCCAAGAGCACAGAAAGTTTCCTCTAACTGGGAGACCACTGACACCTTAGGAACCTGGCGCCTCAGCCGGGCCTCTCCAAAGCAGCTTGCACAATGGGGCTCCGACGTCCTCAAGTGAGCCAGAAACTAACGCCATCAACCTTGAGGAGCTTAGCAGGAGGGAGGATCATTCCCTGCCGGCTCCAATTTTAAACACGCCTGTGCCGCACTCGCACACTTGTACACGTCGTACACGGCACGTGGGGCGTTCCCGGCTGACTGACAGGGGAGCGCAGTCGTTCTTTCTTTGCTCCCCCTTTAAACCTGTTGCCCGGCTTCCAAGAGTCGGCTTCAAGACGCTGGTGAAGGCGCAGAAGGGGCAACAGCCCTTGGGCTGCCCGGGCCTCGGCGGAGCCGCACTCCAGGAGGGGAACCCGCCGAGGGATTCGCGTCCCAGCGCACACGACTGCGGAAAAGAAAGGTCCCCGACGCCGCGCTACTCCAAGTGCGGTCCGCGGACCAGCTGCCCCGGAACGGGCTGGAAACGCCTGCGCTCAGGCCCCACCCAATCCGCTGCGGGACCGCCAGATTCAAGTTCAAGGGGGCCCGTGGGCGGGGCCCCCAGGGGCCGCGACCGCAGCCGCCTCAGCTCCCAGGATCCCGCCCCCCCCGCACGCACGCCCCCCACGAAGGACGAGTGGGGAGGAGGCTGGCCGAGGACCCCAAAAGGCAGGCAGGGCCTCGTCCTCCGGCTCGCCCTGGGGAGGGGCGCGGGGGGCCCCGGGCGCCGCCCCGCACCTGCCAAGGCCTCCAACTTCTCCTGCAGCCCCTCCTCTTTCCGGGGGACACCCCTCCCAGCCCCGGGCCGCGGCCCCTCCGAGCCCCACACTCCCGTCGCCACGGCCGCCGGCCCCGAGCCTGGGGCCCACCCAAAGGCCATGAAGGGGAGGAAAGCCACTCACTAGGGTGCCCTCGCCAGCCCCCCGCGCGCTCCCATCGGCGCCCGCCGCCGTCGGCTCGCCGGCCCCGCTCGCGCAGCCACTTCCGGCCTCGCCGGCGCACACGTGTCCCTCAGCCCCGCCCGCCCGGCCGCGGCGGGCGGGTCCCGCCCGGAGAATCGATTCTCTGGTTCGCAGCCTTCTGCGGGCCCGGGGACCGGGCGGGCGGGCGGAGCGGAGCTCGGAGGCCTGGCACCGGGCGGCCTGCGAGCCTGAACTTCCGCAGCCCTAGGGAAAGCCGGGGACACCCACGCGCCCAGGGAAAGCCCACCTTGCAAAGTCCCTCTGTGGCTTATGTTTCTACACCTGTGGCAGCCCGGCTGGGGGCTGGGGGAGATGACACCACCGTCAGCATCTCTCGCTAGGTCATCATCGTCCCCATCAGAATCACCCAGAGGCGTCTCAGACACAGGTTGCTGCACCCCCAGAGGTTCTGGCTCTGCAGATCTGGGTGAGGCTGAACGTCTTCTGTTTTGAACTAGGAGTGTCTGATGCTGCTGTTCTCGGGGCTTCCTCTTGAGCATCACTGTCCTGGGTCAGGGGTTTTGTTCTCCAAGGGCTCTGTGAAAAGACCCGAGGGTGGAGTGGCTACGTTTAGCCAAAAACAAAACAAGACAAGACGAAGGGAAAACAGGAGGCTGGTGAAATTTGAATTTCAGATAATTCAAGCCTTGTAGTACAGGCTTCCTCTGCTAGGTAAGTTTTCTAGGATCCCATGGGCATCAGTGTACCAGCTGTCCTTGTTGGGAGAGGCCATGTTTGACTTCAGTGAAGTTTTTTGGAGAGTCAACATGTTGGCCCATTTCAATGTGGGTGATTTACCAGCGCACCTGCCCACACCATGCTAAGCGTTCAGTGGTTTGTTTGTTTTTTTTACCAAAAACAGCCTGACTTCCCTGCCTTACCCTCCGTATTCATCCAGTCTCACCCCAAGAGACTTGTTGTTGTTTCCTGACATGAAAAAAGTCCTCAAAGGAAAATGTTTTGCCAGTGTGGGAGAGGTGAAACAATAGACAGCAGAAGCACTAATTGGCGTCAAAACTGATGAGTTCAAAAAACTGTTTTGAGCAGTGGAAAAAGCATCTTGACAGGTGTATTGTATCAAATGGAGAGCACTTTGAAGGTGACTGAAATTTAAGCATGTAAGAATAAATCCACAATTTTTTATAAATAAATCCAGGGGTTTTTTGGTCCCACCTCGTATATCCCAGGCAATATTTAGGACATACTTATGCTAGGCATATTCCTTGCTATCTGAAATTTAAATTTAGCTGAGTGCCCTGTCATTTATTTGGCAGCATACCAGAGGGTGATCTGGGCAACAAAACTGCCATGGTCTCAGTAGCCACAGACCAAAGGGTCCAATAAGAACAGGCCTTGGCCAGGCTCAGTGGCTCAGCCTGTAATCCCAACACTTTGAAAGGCTGAGGCGAGTGGATTGCCTGAACCCGTGGGTTCGAGACCAGCCCAGGCAAATTGATGAGACCTCGTCTCTTCAATAAAATTTTAAAAAATTAGCCGGGCGTGGTAGCGTGTGCCTGTAGTTCCAGCTACTTGGAAGGCTGAGGCGGAAGGTTTGCCAGAGCCCAGCAGGTCAACGCTAGGGTGGCCGTGAGTGTGCCACTGCACTCCAGACTGAGTGACAAGAGTGAGACTCCAACTCAAAATTTTTAAAAATTATTTAAAAAAGAACAGGCTTTGTTTGTCCGGGATGTCAATGGTTCACACTGGTGGTTGCACTATATACTGTGCACTGTGTCAGGAGAGGAGGACTGCCCTCAAAAGGCCCCCAGGCCAGAGAGAGTCAAACTGGCCACCACACTTCAATGCAACAGTGTATAAGAGGCACACAGAGAAAAGTCACCCAGGTGGCGAGGGCCATCAGTTCAACCTCCAAGACATGGCCGTTTTCCCTGCAGTTTGTCGTAGTGGTGAGATGACGTCTTGGACTTGCTTCAAAACACTATGGAAGGAAGAAATGGATGGAGTAGAGATTGAGTGAAATTGACCAGGAGTAACCAGGATTGAAACTGGGGAATGGGCGTACATAGTAGTTCGTTCCATTTTTCTACTTTTTGCACCTGTTTAAATTTTTCCCCATGAATAGAATTTTTTTAAACAATCAACCAAGTGCCTCTCCTGCCCAATCCTTTCTCTTCTCACTGCTGCTGTGAGGATTTGGTCTCCCATCCTTCAACTAGGTCATGTCGATCACCTCCTGCCATCCACCCTGTCTAGTCTGTTCTGTGCACCACTGCCAAGATCACCCTGCCTAAAGCACAGCACGTCACTATCCTGCTCAAAAACTTCCAGTGACTCCCCAGTGCCTTTGGCAAGAAGTTCGTCTCCTCGGCCTAAAACTCGAGGTTTTCCCTGGTGTAGTTCTAACTACACTTTTTCAAGTTTGTCTCCCAATGTCCTCCCTGTACCCTCCGACCAGCCAGGTTGGATGATTCACTACCCTCCCACACATCCTTTCCTTCCTGCCACCTGGTCCTCCCCTTACACAGCTTCCATTTAACTGTCCTTCCCTTCCAATTCCCTAAATCTAAGTCCCACCATCTCGCAGTGCTGGGTTTAATGCAATCTCCCCAGCCCCTGCTCTAACCTTGTCTCTTACCTGTTCAAGCTCTGAGGTCACACAGAGCTTTGTCTGGAGTTAAGGCCTGTGTCTCCTTCTAGCTTACACTACAGGGACTAACTTCACTGCTGTATTCAGCACTCAGAGCCAGGATTGTAATCCAGCTTCTCACTGAACCCCTATTCCAGCCAGCATTGCATCTCATATCAGAGCACGTACTCAGAATATGCTTGTATGCAATGCGTGGGCGAGCAACATGCAGAAGGAAGACACGGGGGGGGGGGGGACACCAACATTGTGGAGTGCCTCACCTAGCCAGACACGGTACACCATCTTCTTATGTAAAACTCACAACCTTGGGAGGTACAACGTGTTATCCCCATCTTACAGATAAGGGAATTGAGGCTCAGGAAACCTCTGGAATGACCCCAGGTCAACAGGGCAGTGTGCGACACCAAACTCCACTGACTCTAGTGACAGTACCAGACATTCAGGGTTTACAGGACAAGACCTGGAGCCGCTCTGATGGACAAAAACTCTCACTTCCCTTAAACCACCGGTGTCCTCAAGTGAGAGGGCCGACAACTCCCCAGGAGACAAATCTCTCCATCTCCCGTCTTTCCCAACAAATCACCCCCCCATACACATACACACACACACACACACACACACACACATACACTCACCTTCCCAAACATATACACTGCCAGTCTTTCACACACTCCCTTACAGTAAGAAATGCTGGAGTACTGACCAGAAGGAAACTAAGTACACTGGCTCTCACCTCCACCCATCCCCAGTCCATCCCTGTCCTCTCCCTTGGGGGCAAACGTGCCCTGCAGTCCCCATAAAGCGGGGGAGGGGGGAATGAGGTACACAAGAACAGGCCAGAGCAGTTGCTTCTAAGAGAGTAGCAGGGTGCGTTTCAGGCAGCTAGGGGTGCTTCCCAAGTGTCAGAAGATGATAAGGCTGACCCCAGCCATCAGCAAAGGACCCATAGGGCAACAGAATGGCCCTTTCCAGAGAAATCACCGTTGCTCAATTTGGCTAGAGTTCTGCCAGCACCTTTCCCTGGAAGACTGGGTAGGCCAGGTCAGGATACATCATGGCCAACAGTTCCACAGAAAGGCTAGAGATAGGCACAAAGTGGTCCAGCCCAGTTAAGTCCCAGATCTCACCTTTGCTGCTCTCCTTCACTCCCTTCCTCCCTCCCTATTTCTCTCTCTCTCTCTCTCTCTCTCTCTCTCTCTCTCTCTCTCTCTCTCTCGGTAAGACAGCAATTGAGTGCCCGCTTCAGAATCTGACCACACAGGACAGATCCCTTGGCATGTGGGTGTCCTCGAGCAAATTTTCCAACCCCTCTCCCCCTCGGTCTCCCTATCCTGAGTCTGGGAATAAGACAGCACTCTCTCCAGGTTCCATTGACCCCCAACACCCTGCCTAGCACCCGTCCTAGCACCCTGAATGATCATTATCCGTGTACCCCCTCCCTCCTTCATTTCTTCCATCCATTCACTGACTCAACAGATCGTTTTGGCTGCTGTGCCTTCAGCATCTGTCCCATGCCAGGCACTCTGATGGCCCCCTGGTATAGGGAGACCCGCTAAACAGACAGCTTTGCCTTGTCTGCCCTCTCCTGCCTGCCAGTTCTTCCCTTTGGCTGAAGGCTGACAGGGGCACAGCACAAGGACCGAGATAAGCCTCTGAGCCTGGGGCAGCTGGTTCCTTCCCTCCACGGGGTGTGGATAATAAGCCCAGCGGGAACCAGCTCTCAGGTTTGCTGACGGGATCATACAAATGAAAGTAATAGGCAGTTTATAGAAGTGCTATAGAAATGCAAGGGGTTTCTTGTTGTTATTGTTTATTTAGAAGATTTTAGAAATTATCCCCCACCTGTCTAGAATTCATCCACTTTCCTCCACCTCTACCACCCCCTACCTTTGTCTAAGCATACCCGTTTCATTCTCCTGTCCTGACCACCTGACCCATCTTCCTGATTCCCATGTGCCCTCCAATGGTCCCTGCTCTGCGCAGCAGCCAAAACGATCTTCTAAAGACTGTCTACTACTACAAACCCTCTGAGGGCCACTTGCTGCCCTTAGAGTAAAACTCAAGCTCCCTCCCCTAGCCTCAGGACCTCCTCATCACTCTCCACCTCTTCCTTACTCTGCTTCATCCAGGCTGGTCTGTCTTCGCTAGGCACACCAAGCATCCTCCTGCCTCAGGGCCTTTGCACTTGCTGCGCCTTCTGCCTAAAGTGCCTCTCTCTCCCAGATTTTCGTCTGTTTAGATCCTTCTTGTCATTTGGAGTTCAGTTCCAGTGTCTTCTCATCACATTCCTTGAATATCCAACCTAGCGTATACCTTCCAAGGCATTCTCTATCTTTTTCAAGGGTAACTTTGCAAGTGGGATCCTAGGGGGCATTCAAGTGGGGGAGAGTGCTCCTGGCGTCTGGTGGG